CTGGGGAATCATCCTCCTTATGGAGGGGGAGCCCTTTGGGCATTCTTCCCACAGAGTCACATTCCTGGGGTGCCATTTTGATTGGAACTTGTTCCAAAGTCCTCTGTCCCCTGGGATGTGGAGGCTGCAGCTTAAGCACTGCAGAGGGGGTTGGGGCGCCGGGCTGGGCACTTTCCACCCTTCTCCCCACCCCTGTGCTGACTGATCTCCCCTCATGCTTCCCTCTGTCCAGCTCTGCCTTCCTCGCCTGGCAGACCGCTGCTCGTGCTTCAGGACCCAGCCCAGATGCCCCTTCTTTGGGGCTTCTCCTGGCCCCCCACCCCCACCGTGGAGCACCTTGTCTTCATCTGGTCACCTCACGGGTGGTCACTTGGCTGGTCTTTTCAGCGAGGTGCTCACATGCAGGGCACAGACTGGTGCATCAGTTTTGAGGTTTCCTCCCGGGCTGCCCTTGTCGCTGCTGGCTCCTCCTAGCCAGCCTGGGGAAGACAGGGTGGTGAATTTCTCCAGAATGAAGAGCTTCCCTACAGTGAGTTTGCCTGAGGTAGAATGGCTCACTTAGGAAGTCAAAAACACCCAGCACCATGGAAGAGTCCCTTAAAAGGGAGTCTTTGAACCCAAAGATTATGAAAGGGCGGCTGCTGGGACTTAGTCAGGTCTGAGGAAGTGGGGCTCCACCCTCGCCCTCACGCACACTGGCGGCACAGGGCCAGACCCCTCTCTCCCTGTCTGCGGCTGGAGCTTCTGAGGCCTTGCTGGACCTCAGGGTGCTGTGGGCAGTAGGGGAGAAGGGTGCTGCCTCGTGGCATGCAGGTTAAGTACCAGGGTGCTGACACGTCCTATCTTGTCCTCTCCTGGTGACATCTCAGCCCCATGCAGTGAAGGTATCTCCCTATTATAAGAAATTGTAAAAACAGCCCAAGTGAAAAGATGGGGCCCTCATCAGCCACGATGGGGCCGTAGCAGAGCTAATTTATCCTTAGCCTCGGCCACGAGGATTCCGTTTCCAAGATGGGCTCGATCCTCACTGTTCCTCTTTGCATCAGTAACACCCCCAACTTCTGAGCAAGCTGCCCCACATTTGCCATTAGCACATTATTCGCTGTCTGGAGGGAGCAGACAAGGACAGCGAGTGTTTTTTCATTTCCCTAGGTGTTTCCTGGGAACAGCAGATGAGATGGAAGGAGGGAGGTAGAGACACAGGTTCATGTAGGCACTGGTCCCCTTCTCTCTCTTTGCAGACATTGTAGGGAACTGTGATGGCAGTGCAGTGTGATTCATGTACCAGGTGAGAATGGGCAGGAGCATGCTCACCTGGGCAGGTGCATGTTCATCTGGACAGGGACCTCACGAGGGCAGTGAGAATCCCCTCCCATGTTTTCCACTCACTTCATAGGGTCACATGCAAAGGTGGGGCCCCTGAATAGAGGCTACAGAGAGATTGGGGCTCAGCAGCTCATGACCCTTCTAAAGGAGTTTGGAGGTTACATCTGTCAAGAGCAGGTAACTCAGTGTGTGGTCAGTTATACCCATGAAGGCCACTTTGCTCTGGGTAGTAGTCAGTGGCTTAGGAGTTTCACTGTCTTTAATACTTTGCATGACCGCTCCCGCGGCTGGGGTGTTACTCCAACTTCATGCAGACTGGAGGGTCGGGGTTGGAGCAGTGCTCACACTTGGGGCTTAGGCTTGGAGCCCTGGCTCTGCGTGCATCAGCATAGGCTCAGGACAGGTGGCTCACCCCTGCACAAAGGGAAGGACACTAGACCCTGATCGACACAGGGTTGAACCGTCCACTCATGTGTGGATTTTCTTCTCCCTGCGGTTGAGCATTCGTGGACTCGCCCATCTGCTGATGTCCGCCGGGCAAGGCCCTGGACTCGGGACCTGGACTCGGGCCCTCTGTCTACAGAGACCCTCTGCAAGTCCATATTTGACACTTGACTGCTGGCAGGAAACGGGGGCTCGGCACCTCGACTTATTTAAGGGCCGGGAAGCTGCAAGCGTCGGTAGCATCTCATCTTTGCAGAATCAGAATTTTCAGACATTGCACGATTCCTCCCTCAGCTGCACAGACCGTGTCTAAGAGAAGTCTGTCTTCTGGAAATAAATCTCCCCATAAATATTTTCCTAACCTTATTTAACAGGCGAGCTCGTCTCTGCAGCCCCGTTAGCGTGACGTCCTCCTCCTCTTCTGATGTGATTTAAATGTGAGTTCTCGTTTCCTGTCATCTTTGGTGTCGAAGCTAGTTCCTGCCTTCTCATGTAAATTTTTATATCTTTGGGGCATTTTCCATTCACTGTTTCCGTGTAGCCAAGTCTATTTTCACTAAATGCTCAAGTAGGTTTTGTTTCCTAAAGCTCTTCAATTTCTAATGTTCTTTCCAAAAATTTTAAAGAGACAATAGAAGTCGGAGATGACTTATGAATGATTTTTAAAAAGTCGGTATCCAGTATTTTGCCTGTTTCTCTCTGACTTAAGCCCAGCAGATCCTCATTTGTCTGGACATCTGGCTGGCTGGCTGGGGAATCTGTCTCCACAGAGACACACCCCCCTCCCCCACCCATGCTTTCCCGACCACCTCTGCTCTGGGGCTCCAACCCTGGCAATCCTAAATGATACAGAAATAACTGATTTCTATAATGACTCTGGCCCAGTGTTTCTAAAATTACGGGTTGTGACCCAGTAAACCAATTGAGTGCTTTACATCCATCTTTTACAAAAAGACTGGAACTGTCCGTACGTCGTAGGGGAAGCAGGCATCTAGGCATCTCAGTGGCACGGCATCTGGGTCATGATATAAAATGTCTGGGAGAGGCAGACAGGGTTGCAATTCCCTGCTGTGCTGTATTCTAACATTTACTGTGCTTTTATGGAAGAAAAACTATTTATAATCTGTCTCCAGTAAAGTGATTTTGAGCCTTGGGAAAACTGTCATGGGCAACACGGGCCTCGGGGGAGCGCCGCTGGGAAGCCCCCGTGTGGAGGGGAGCAGCCCGCGTGGGGTGCCTCTCGGGGTCTGCACAGGCTTTGGAGGTGGGGAGCAATTCTGCGTGGCCACAGGGGCCTCCCCTACAGTTCTCCTCCTTCTCCAGCTCTCACCTCAAATATTTTTTCTTCAAGAAAATATTCCCTGGTCCCCCCACTCCCCATCTCAGGCAATCAGGCTCCTCTGCTGGGGGCTTTCATTGAACCACATTTCCCCCATCAGAGCATGTTTATGCTCAGACTTAATATATGGACACGTGTGGTCATTTTACTGTCTGGCTGCTGGACTTGGAGTGGGGAGGGCGGCTTAGGCTGTTCTGCTCACTCGCATGAGTGAGGTACTCTCATGTAGCTGGCTCCTCATCTCCGCCAGGGACTTGGGACCAAGTCTGGCTCACCCCCAGCTGCAGTGGTTGACATTATGCATCGCATAAAACCCTGTGTGTGCTCTTACTCCAGGGAGGGGTGAGGTCTGGTGGCAGGGGGTGTGCAGGTGGGCCAGGGATGGATGCTCTCAGGCACAGCAGAGCTCTTCGCCCAGAGCCACAGCATTCCCCGCACACAGTCCACGCTGACCAAGGGCATGCACCCCTCTTCTTAATGTCCTGTCCAGGTGGGAAGCAAGAATGGGAAAGCCAAACTATTCATGAGCCATCTCTTGGGTGATGGTGTCTTTTCTGGCTGTGTTGGGGTTCCATAGTTCCAAGTTCTTGGAACAGGGGAGTATTCGGGCATTCAGTGAGTTGGAACCAGCTCACCATTCAGTGAGTTGGAACCAGCTCACCTGGATTCTTCAGTGGGTGCTGCTAGACCCAGCTGAGGCACCCAGTGTGTGCTAGGCAGTGAGGAGATGAGCTAGCGCAGGGAGGCAGGGCCTTTTCCTCTCTGACCCTGAGAGAATACGTGACAGTGAAGGCCGAAAGTGGGGAAACAGGAGGCTCAGCAACTATTTCCAGGATTGCTTCGGCATGCCAAACATGTTTCCAAAGAAATGTTTCAGAAACATTTTATTTTAGCTGGAAGAAAATTCATGCACTCCGGCTGGCCCCACAGCCAGACTTTATCGGGGGGCGGGGGGGGGCCACGGTATCATCGCTGTAGCCGGGGAGCTCGTGGCGTCTGGAACTGCTCTCCCATTTGAGAGGCCAGACCTCTGTGACCCTGAGCATCATTTCCACGGCAACCAGCTGTGATGAAATGGGGGTTTTGACCTCATGGGACAATTGCAACCAGGAGCCGATGAGCTTTCAGATAGAAAATTTACTCAACGGCCTTGCACAAACCCCACGTAACTGAAGCTCAGTTTCCTCATCTCTGAAGAGGAGAAAGGAACACACGTTTAGCTGGTGTGCAAGGAAGCCATGTGCAGAGAGGTTGCGGGTGCACACACCAGCCCCCCAGCCATGCTGTGGAGCCAGTTCAGCCGCCCAGCACGGCCACGCTGCTGAGAACATCTTCGCACGGGGTAGCCGTGGTCAGTCCTGCCTTCTCCTCGCTGACCAGTCCCTCACACACTCTTTGCATCGCAGTTCCCCACTGCTCTTCCTAGAGAGCGGATGGCCGACCCTCTCCCTTTACTCAAGTGTCTGCTCAGTCGCCCTATCAGCCCAATCCCATCTAAAACAAACCCCTAGTGAGGTCTCTCCCCTAATGCCTGGGTTTCTTCCCAGCACTAAGGGCCGTTTGGGGTTTTGTAAGCCTCATGGTGCCAGGGTTCTTATTATTGTTCCCTCCCTCCCTGCCTTTCTTTTAAGTCTCTGCTAATATGTGCAAACTGCACATAGTAGGTCTTTTATTCACTTATTTACTTCTAGGAAACTTCATTCCAGAGAATGAGCAGCCTGCTCAAGGCCATATATTCAGGAGGAGGAAAGCAGTGGCTTAATTAACTCAGGGTGGACACCGTGTCTGGGCGTGGGCCCTCCGCTCCCACCTTTTCCCTCTGTTTGAACACTGATGCCAGGCGCCCTGGGCTGCTTTCCCTTGTCCCACACCCTCTGTGTTGCTCTTTCAGGTAAAGTCCGGTGGCGGGACTTCAACCAGGAAGCTTATGTTGGCGGGACAATGGTCCGCTCTGGACAGGACCCCTACGCCCGCAACAAGTTCAACCAAGTCGAAAGCGACAAGCTGCGGATGGACCGAGCCATCCCCGACACCAGACACGACCAGTAAGTACTCGGCCGAGCGTCCGCCTACTGCCTGTCTCAACCCAGTAGAAGGCCTTTACTGTGACGCTCACACATGTGTTGTACCTTTATGGGAGTCATTAAACGGGGAGAACCTCCAAGCTTGTGGCAGTAGAGCACCCCCATAGCAAGTCAAGCACCATTCGAGTCAGGTTCTGATCTCTGCAATGCCCCATGGCTGTGTCCAGGGGTGTGGGTCCTCTGACCATGGGAGAGGACTGACTTCATGTCCACTGATGACTTGGTAGTTGTGGTAGTTGTTTTTTTTTTTTTTTAAGATTTATTTATTTATGTATACAGAGCTGGGGTACAGGCCAGAGGTGCTGGGGTACAGGCCAGAGGTGCTGGGGTACAGGCCGGAGGTGCAGGGGCGGTGAGAGGATTCACCAGAGGCAGAGTGGGGAGCAGAACTTGCCAACTGACAAGTACACTGCTGAGGGGAGCAGCGGGCGGGTCAGGAGAGGTCTGCCGCGCCATGTGGTCACCTCCGGGGCAGGCGGGGATCAAACTCACGCTGAAGTGGCTTTAGCCTCCCAGTGCTGTGCTTTAACCCGCTGCGCCACCAGAGAGGGCCCTGACTTGGTAGCTTTAAAGCCTCTTCACAAAACACAAATTTCCATTGTTCACAGCCAGTTAGTTGGGAGGAAGAAAACCCAGCTTCTAGCTTATGAAGCAGCGTGAGTTGGAAATATTGTAGAGAGCAGAAAGTGGGAAGAAGCAACCCAGCAGGGGAGGTGTTAAGTTGAGCAGGGTCAGGTCCCTCTTACCACCCCCATGTGTGGGGAGGGTCTGGATGCTGAGGGTGCAGGGCACCCCAGCCCAGTGCTGGAGGCCCCCAAATGTGATTGTAACCTGCGTTTTGTCACCATCTGAAAGAGTGACACCCCACCACCACCACTCTACACCTTTAGACCGTTTGGTCAGACTGATTGGGACTCTGTTCACGTTGAACGTCTTAGAGGGATAATCTCACGTCAGATTTTTTTTTAATGAAGAGCCACATTTGGATGGCAGCTGTTCGCCTGAGAGCTTTGCTGGCCTTCCTGCTCCCAAGTTACTCTCAGCGTCATCCCAGCCGGCGTGGAGCACCCTGGGCCCACGCACAGACACACTGCTTGGGCCCGGAAGCCCAGCCCAGAGGGTCTGGTCGCACTCCAGCGTGGGGAGTGACGGACGCCCCTGAGCTGGGTGTGCAGCCCCTGGGGCTTGAGCAGACTCCCCCGAATCTGCATTCACCCGGGGAAGGGGCGGTGGGAAAGGCTCCAAGGGAGGGGGCGTCCCTAGCTGGAGCCGGTCAGGGAGGACCGTGAAGAGGCTTGCTGGGCAGCCCAGGCTCCCACAGCCCCAGCGGCGTCTGGCTTCCCCTGCGTGTAGCTGGGGAGAGGCTGCCAAGCTGGTCGCAGTGAACGCACCTTAAGGTTTTGCTGGGCTGCCTGTGTTACTGGCACACTTCGAAAGAGAAATTGTCTTTCCTCTCCTGTTTGCAGGGGACTTTACCGACACCGGCAGCACCACTGTGCCAGGTGGTCCACTCCCTTGTCTTAGGCAGTTTTTTAGGCTCTCCTCACTTCTGTTTGCTCACAGTAGCCACTGAGTGTAGATATATAGTTCTTTAGGGTCAGGGGAGTAACCGTTTGTGTGTGTGATTTTTTTATATGTGGTATGTGGGTGATACATAAACATACACGCGTTAAGAATTTCATTTTTCTAAATCCAGTCCTGAAAATTATCTTAGCTTTGAATTTCCTATAACCCATTAATTGTTTTTGTTTCTTTAAAGAGTTATTTCTTTATTTATATAGAACTGGGGTACAGGCCAGAGATGCGGAGGGTGAGAGGATTCACCAGAGATAGAGTGGGGTACAGAACAGGCAGATCGACGGAGTACACTGCTGAGGGGAGCAGCAGGCGGGCCAGGAGAGGTCTGCCACGCCATGTGGTCACCTCCGGGGCAGGCGGGAATCGAACTCATGCGGA